TTCGTTTGGTGATGTGTAGTTTTTATGTTTCTTCTTTTGTTATTTCTTCTGCTGTTGCTGCATCTGTCGGTTTCTGCTTCTTTTGCTGCTGCTTCTGCTGCTGCTGCTGCTGCTGCATGCATGCATGCATGCATGTTTTGTGTGTGTGTCTGTGTGCAGGTAAATACCCCAAAGGCGGCTGCTGCCGCACCTGCGGGTCTATCCATCATCTGCAGTTTGAGTGCCCCACGTTCTTAGCGCAGAAAGCAGAGTTGCAGCAGGCGAGAGAAGAGAAAAAGAAAAAGAAAATCAGCAGCAACAGCAGCAGCAACAGCAGCAGCAGCAGCAGCAGCAGCAGCAGCAGCAGCGGTAGGAGCCGGAACAGACAGCCGGAGGAAGACGCGGATATGTACTGGTTGAAACAGCTAAATGCATAAACCCTAACAATGCAGGATAAACATAAACCCTAAACCCTAAACCCTAAACCCTAAACCCTAAAACTCACCCTCACACAAACACCTCCTTCTTTGCCTGCGTACTGATGCCTCCTAGGCTTCAGCACGAACCAACAAACAAACAAACAAACACAAACACTACAACTACAATATAATCTTTTTATTGAACTATTGAGTTACCTCCTTATGCGGGTCTCTACGGGGGGCCTCTACACCACGCGGGGGCCCCGGGGCCCCCCAAGGGGCCCCCAAGGGGCCCCCGGGGGGCCCCCTACGGGGGCCTTCTGTAAGTTAAGGGGAAGGGGTTATGTTTAAGTTTGAAATGTTTGCAACAAAAAGAAAAGAAGTAAGAAGTGCTGCTCGTTACCTCTGCAGCACTGGCGCACCTCCAGCTCAGCAGCAGCAGAAATAGACGGCAGCGGAAAGAATTAAGTTAGTTTAGGGTTTAGGGTTTAGGTTTTAGGGTTTAGGGTTTAGGGTTGGGTGAAGGGTAAGGTTTTGTGGTGTAAACCCCAGAGGAAAACAATACAAACAGAATGCAGGGATTTGAATGCCTTGAACTTCTCCTCACTTCCTGCATATCTGAGCAGCAAAAGGGATTAAATTACGTCGCTATACAAGTTATAAAAAGTAGAACACAGAGGGGGGGGGGGGGGGGGGG